AATGTGCATCAATAACCCAGAATGTTTTCTAAGAGCCAGTTCTGAATTTTTTGCCGTTCGAAAGTCTGATTTACCTATAGTGAAGCACCTTTTTTAACAACTGAAGCATCAGTATGGTATGGGGTTAAGTGTGAGCAGACCTGCAGTGAAAGGCAGGCTGACAGCAGGCACATTAAATAAATCACAGCTGCTTTAACACTGGAACAGTATCTCCCAGTGTGAAACAACAGGCCTCACAGTCACACAGCTCCACAGTGCAGGGAAGGCTACTCTTTAAGTGGTCCTTATTCTGTCCTTTATTTGTCAAGAACCGGTCCTTGCAGACACTTAAGGGCCTGCTGTTTTATTTAAGCAATAATACCTGACACAGAACTGGGCTATCATCTGAAGTTTGGAGCTGGGATACAGGGTAATGACCTTATTTCTCTTAACAGATCCATCTTGACTCCTAACCCCAGTTATAAATGTTTTACTCCTGTGTCTTGCTGGGGTTTGTTACTTCATTGGTGATTTTCAACTGGATGTTTTTTTCTGTTGTGTTGGAAAGTAGCAGCAGAAAGCAGCAATTTTGGTTAATCTTAACTTACTTAAATATACTGTATACTTATTGCTTCATTGATTAGTAAGGAAAGAACAATATCAGAAATTAGTGTTGGAACATTAGTTCGCCTTTCAAAGGGTTTACTCCATAAAACCAGTGACTTTGTTTCTGACATTTACAATAATTACGATTAATGAGTTACACCTCTTTTTCCTCTCTATTTCCAGTGCACCTCTACATTACATGATATGTAATATAGAATACTGTATCTTTAATTGTATATTTGTGTATCTACTGTCTATGAAAGTACATGATAATGCTGTTAGGATGTGTGCTTTTTCTTTAGAAATTCAGAATTGTTTAGTTTTTCTTTGAGTTTCACATAGTATTATTCATTACTACATATACTGTCCTAAAAGCTGTATTCTGAATTTTCTACCCCTTTTGTACAGTATGTTATCCAAAAAAATCTACTTTTAATGTGTAAAAATCGATAGTTTTCAGGATGACCAGATGTTTTAAGAAAACAGTAAAGCGACAAGATGCTCATTTCAATAATAAGATATAATTTTTCTTACTGATCATTTAAAGGGATAAAAAGAGCAAGTGAGCTTCAGGTTGAATTTATGTAGGTGCTTTGGGGAATGTCACCACAATTAATTGATTTTCCCATATTTGTCAGAAAAAGAGTAAATGCCTAACCCCATTCTGCATTATTAAAGCTAATACCACAGTGGTTTTTACAAGTCTTACACTGTGAATCAAAGTCTGACATGGACTGATGATGTATGTATATATAATTCAGACCATTGCATTGAGTTTGTTCCAATAGTAGTTTTTTTTTCAGATTCCCATGAGAACACCTGTGTTTTCAAAGTAAAGACCACTTAAAGAATAGCCTGAGGCTTCTGCATACTGGAGTACCCTGCGATTCACATTAGGAACTGCTGTCCAAGCACAGAAAAATAGACATTCAATAGTCCTTGTCTCTCCTTGAGAAACCCCAAATACTTCAATATTGGGACTGGAAATGAATGCACTTAGATACACAGATTTTGTCAACATTTATAGCATGTACTGTGCACACAATACTGAGCCAGATGAATAGTACATCTATCTTTTTTACAGAGTTTATTAATCAATTATTCTGCTGAGCATTGAGGTTATATTAAAAGCATTAGCTGGAGATACACAGAAGTTATTTTGTTATTCATCCAAATAAAACATACTTTCTCTTACCACTGCAGCTTCACAGAATGTTCCATTAATAGTTGCAATAAATGGAAGAAAGCTGTATATCTTATATTCACATTACTTTAAGTGTACCCTAATTAAATAAATAAATAAATTTTCACCAGACAGATGTTTGTAAATGAGAAACCTCTTCAATGTGCTTTATGTGCATATGCAAAAATAAAGTTGCTACACATACAGTAAAATAGATTATTACTCGTACAAGAAAAATGTTGCTTGAAAGTCCAGTACTGTCCTTTAAATTGTGGTAATGAAATATTCTGTGTTTTTGCATTTGCAAAATAGTTTTGCTTTTATTGCATTTGGTAAAATAAAACGGATGAAATGTGGGTTTTATTGAGCCGGGCACCAGCTTCCTCCCACCCTGGGCACTTGTCGCTAGTGTCTCTGTATCTGTTAAGCCACCACACTCATGGTCAAATGATCTGTATTTAATCCAGTCTGAATTTTTGAAAGTGTAAATGACGTTGCAAATGGTGGTTGAATTGATGATGTGGAGAGCTTGGTTTATTTCAATAGCAGTTTAAAAGCACCTATATACAGATGAATATTTGAATGCTGTCAGGCTCATTGAGGGGGATCACAAGCCACATGGACCCTCCTGTTAACACTCTGTATCAGGCAGTTAAAAAAGAATCATCATAATCTGCACAGCTGCGGATCTGCACACCAGTGTGTTGTTTTCATGTGCTGTGACGAGTCTCACTTCTGACATCTTAAGGATAAATAAAAGACAAAGTAGCAAGAAGAAAAACAACTCCCTGATGTGTGAAGGCTTAAAAGAAATGGAGTTAATGATTAGATGTCTTGTTTAATTCCCCGCCTGTGAAAATGGGTTTTGATCAGCAGTGAGGAAAAAAAGCAGCTTTCATATTACGGTTTGCCATTTGTATAGAACTAGAGTTTTAATATTTAACACAATCCTATTACAGAAAATAAGTAGAGTCTTGTGGAACCCAGAATAACTTCATCTGCTTTAATTATTTAATGCCAGTTTGTGCATACACACATTGCCATTTATACTGTCTTTATTAAGGAAGGTAAGAAAAAAATACTTTATTTGCTCCAATCTGCTTTAAAACAACAAGGTGTGGTTGAGGAGGATATGAAAATTAAATAGCTTTATTTCCGAATATACTGTACAGTCCTGATAGAGTTTAGAAATGAAAAATAGAATTATTAAGGTAATGTAAGTAGTTTCCATTGCATTTGAGTCATAATTCAAGTGTGGACAGTCTCGGGGCCTAAACTAGCAGTAATAACCTAATCGTCTGCTCTTATTATATCAGTGCTCACAGAATTAATCAGTGGTACCTAATACAAAGGCAATCCCTTGTGTGCTAGATCTTTTTTTTTCTCAGTAAAATGAACGTGAAAGTTTCATTTCTGTAAATTGTAGCTGTATTTACAAAAACTATTTATACAAAAAACACCTACTCTATCTTTCCAATAAATTGGACTTCACTACTATTGGGTCACAGTAATCTGTCAGATTGTGACTGCTGGCAGACACGTGTACACATTCTTTTCATGTCACTCTTGTTCACTGACAGGGTGGCAGAATGGGGGCACCTGTGAATTATTTTAAATTCTCTTCTAATCTCAGTGACAATAAAGACACAGGAAAAAATGCCAAGCAAATACTGTACATTCAAAAAGCCCCCTTTTTGCTACATACCACAGTACCATACAGCTTACTGTAAGTGCAATAACTATCCATTTACATACCACAGTACCATACAGCTTACTGTAAGTGCAATAACTATCCATTTACATATCCAGGACCACACACCCTGCCAAGCAAGCCATTCCCTTTGTGCTCAGGCAGCTAAATTCAGTTTTTCCATTTGGAGAACTCTAAACAAAGCTGTTGATGAACTCTGAACAAAGGTTTTTTCACTTGTCTGTTATTCGATGTTTACGGGAAGGAAGATGGTGAGCTGGTTTTTACATTTAGGGAGTCAATATGTGTGTTTTTGTGATTCCGTGCTTAACGCACCTCTTCACGCAAGTACGTTCAGAATCTTCCTTCTGCCGTCTCAACAGCTGTGTGGGAAGTGTGTGCAAAGTCCTCCAAGAAGCTAGTTCTTTCGGCATGCGGAAATGTCTCGGTATGCCTGGGCAGTGGAGGGCTGTGAAAGGGAGAATCCAAACGCGGCGCCCTGCTTGTCTGTCATCTTGTGTTGTCCTGCTGCGGTGCAGGTGTCTGTGCCCGAGCCTCGTGCAGGGGTGTAGTGCAGAGGTAGCCTTCCACGACTTTCCCCCTTGGGCCCCAGTCAAAGCGTTCAGCATAGATCTTTATTTACAGCACAGAACTCGGAAACAGCTGGTCAATCCGTTTAGCCTAAGGCCACTGATTTGTTCGTATTTACTACAACACCTAAAGAAAAGCCAGGGTATTTTTTTCTCTCTCTTTCCTATTGATCCAGCGCTTAGAAAATCTGCTCTGCTGTCTAAACACTATTGATCCCCCTCTCCACTGTGAGTTCCCGCAGAAGTGTATAAAGGGACTGGATGAATTGAAATTTCATTTCCGACAACTTGTTCCTGTTATTTTTACCCTTTTTCGATGGGAAGAAACACGCGCTGGCGGCCTGCCGCTCGATGATAGTCGATAGCAGCCTGACGGCAGGAAATGCAGAGCTCACAGCATTCTGGGGCAAAGCATCATGCGATTGGCTGATCCGCACACCCAAGGCTTGAAGCTGCTGAGTCCCCTTCATTAAAAAGTTTGCTGTTACCATTAAAAGTATTATATGTGTCATTATTGTAGTGACTGGGCTCACTTCGGCCGGGCATTGTCATTCATACAGTATATACTGTAGCTATCGTCTTCAGCTTTGTGTTGGATAATTGTCTAGCTGATCAAATCCCAGCACTGTCTGTCTTGTGGAAAGGTGTGTTTATATGTCTTGCTTATCCTACAGAGACCCAGCAATTGTAGGTCACGCTCACACACTTGCCCTACTCACAATAAAAATGTGAATCAATTTCAGTTGTGCAATATTTGTTCTAATCACAGAAGTCTCATTCAAGATTGTAGATGGTTGACCACAAACTAAAGACCAGCTCCGTCTGTTGTGTGTGTATCCTTTCTGTCTTCACTCTTAATGTCAGCTTACCCTTTCATTGTGAAGCAGAAGTGAAAAAAGTGAAAAGTATACTTGAAACAGGTCATTTCTGAACATTTTCCTTTCCTCCTCAGCTGGTGGAGAGGAAGTCTGAGCTGCAGTCCCTGCAGAGGGCCTATGAAGACTTGCAGGTTCGAGAAAGTGACCAGGAGAGAGAGCTCAGTACCCTGCACACCCAACTGAACCACGCCAGGGAGGAGCTGCACAGTGTCACTTACAAGGTCTGCCTTTCATTACAGCTACAGTATGTATACAAATACGAACTGCAGGCTTTAGAATAAGGCCCACACTAAGTCAAAAGTTTTGTCCATTTTCCTTTTGAAAATTACAAATCCTCTTTGCAAACATTGGTTTTCATCGTGTAGAAGCAGGAGTCTCCTTCCGGCACAAAGTTTTTGTCTTGTAAATTGTGATTGCTGAATTGCTGAATCACTGCAGTGCTTATTTTAACAGATTAGCCTTTTATTGTTATAATTATGAACACTGCGATTGGTATTATATACTGTTTACAATTGCAGTTTTTATTATCAAGTTTTTGTGTGTTTGGTTTTTGCTGTTTTCATAAACTGCACTAATGCACCCTCATATAGACAAGCACACAAACACTCTCATGTGTCTTTTCCCCAGCCTGTTAAACACTCAATCGGAATTACATATCTGTGTCTGAATTGGGGTGTCATAAACTTTATTAAGATAAATTGGTGTGCTGTTTGACATAAATTGCAAAATGACATTTGGAAAATCACCCTAGTGTGGAAATTAGGGATATTAAAATATAAATCAGCGGTCTGAGAGTGCCAACACCTTAGATAAGACCGGATGGACTGAGGTTTCTCCATCGAGGAGAATATATCCTGGGCTATAGCCAGGAGGGACTGGGGAGTCTGTCAGAGTGTAAGATGTTAGAATTTAAAAATGTAGGTGGTGAGTTTTAAAGGGAAACATGATTAAGTCGAAAACATGACTTATAATGCTCTTGCTATGTTCATGTTGATCTGCATCTTCTTTCAGAAAAATCGATTAATAGAGCATTTGGCCAAGTGAGGACTTATTGAATGACTGTACTGTGATGTGCTAATGGAGTGTTATGCGTTGATGGATTTTATTTTGCAAGCCTTTGAGCTCTTGTGAGCCTAACATTGTTGTGACTTCAGTGCACACAGAGGGAGACAACCGTGCTGGAGCTGCTGGAGGAGAAGCAGAGGCGGGCAGAGCTGTGCGCTGAGCTTCAAGCAGAGGTGGAGCGTGTGAAAGCCCAGCTCCACAGAGAGAGTGAGGGCCTGGAGAGAGAAAGGCAGGAGCTGCACAGGAAGGTCAGTGAGAGACTGCACTGGGCTCATGCATCTGAGCACCATGCAGTCCATTGCACTGCGGGAATTGGATCAAACTACCCATCTCACCGATTCATTGATCCCAGACTGGTTCAATTAGAAAAATGAAACAGCTGGTTACAACACAGATCTGCATTACAATTGACTGAAAGGTCACTAGGTTGAAGAACCTTGACATAGATGACCCTGTACTATTGTGAACTCGTTTAAAAATCTTTGCTTTTGAATGAAGAACAGCAAACTGCCAAGTAATCACTCTATTTGTAATTCTCTAGTGATTTCTAAGAAAAAGCAAAAATCAAATTGATAGTGTTTATAAAATTTATATTATTCTGTTTTCAGTTGTCATAACAAGGGAGATTAAACCCTGATTCTATTTATGAAGCATAAGCTCAACGTTTTGCTGAGCATATACAAGGCAGATTTTAAAAGCTTGTGAACTCAGTATTATAAGTGTAACGAGGCCACGGTAAATATGAATCGCATTAAATAGTGTGCAATCACTCCCGCACACCCTGATATAAACATCTGTGGAACTGCCAAAGAGAGATGAGATTGATTGTTGTTGCTGTGCTTCACAGATACATTTTCTTTAATGAAACTAGCAGCTTCTGTCAGAGGTGGTGCCTTGTTTCAGTCTTTCCCATAATGCTGCTGATGTGTGGTTACTTCTGTTCACCGGGTGTGGGTAAATAATCACTGGTGATAATTTCCTTAGCATCTTTCCAAACAGAACAAGGAAAAGTGAATGTTGTTTAACTCTGTGTCTCGCACCGTTTTTAAATTAAACCTCAGCCTAATCACTGCCAGAACAGTGGCCCTCATCAGTAATAATCACTTCATTTTTATCCTTTGCAAAAGTGTGTCTCTTCTCTACACAATTTGTGAACCCCCTTTTCTAATGTTGATAGGCTTAATATGGTATTTAAATCTGATTAAAAATCTGTTTTTTAAATATATTAAAACTTCTGTTTCATTTCCCAAGTCCACTGACAGTAAGGTAGGCTAGGTATGTAATGTAGACTTTAAATATTGGTGATATTGATCCACTAAATTGGATAATGCCCTGGCCTGCGCTGTAATTAATGTGCACTTAATTAATGAAGCTGTAACATTATCTGTTGTGTGCCAGATTTCAGCTGTAGAGCTCAGTGAATGTATTTTATGTGATTATTTCGATGGTTTTTTTTAGGGTGGTGGTTAAAATGAAACTGACTGAGCTGATTAATGTGTGAGATTGAGGAACAGCTGTAAGAATTTTGTATTGATCTATCACCTCATTGTAGCAAGAAATGAAATAAAACTGATTCACCGGGACAAACAGGAAATGAATTTTTCACATACCTATGTTTTTATATTTTGTTTATTGCTTACAGTCATATGCAAAACTGTTTAGTCCATTTTTCATTTGCCTGTTAAAATGTAATAACCTGACAAAATCAATGCATACATTTTTAGAGGTCAGTCATTTTAACTTCCTTCTAAACTGGATCCAAAGGATCAAATTGCCATGGTGTGCAACTTTATTTGGTGTAACACCTCATCTGTCAGACAATTTGTACAGCGCAGTGTATCGGTGTATCTGGTCAGCATGCTGGAGTATTGCATTGCAAACTACCATCGACTGGTCCACCAACATCACTTACAGACTAACCTTGCATTCCATTCCAGTATTGACCAGACCAACTTTGCTTAGCTTTTGAGATCCAACCAGATCAGGTCGCAGGATAGCAAATCCGCTGGCTTACAAATGCTCTGCTAGTGACTGGCACATGACGTGTCTCCTTTCCTTTTTCAGCTAATCCAACAGGAAGAAGAAACTGAAAAACTGAAGCAAGACCACATACACCTCAGGGACAAGATCACAGCTGCAGAGCGCAAGGTTTTTGCCATATTCTTTGTTGCTTTTCCAGGTATCATTACGAATAGCGTTTGTTGAAGGCTGCCATTAAGAGAGACATTGACGTAACAGTTCTGCTGCTGTGGCAGACTAGAATGCTTGCCTGTTCGTTCCTGTCGGGGAGTGATTCCCCATGTTGAAGATGACAGTTACTTAAGTAACTGCTTTCCAACATGCATTTAGGTTCTCATTCACAGTGTGTGTTCTATTAAGGTAGAATTTAGCAATGCCGTTAGTAATGTATTTTCGTATTGTAGGAAACTGAATTTTCTGGAATATTGTTAAAAATAATAGTGATATTTAAAATAAAGCAATTTTTTGGAGAGCTTATCAAGAAACTAAAAGCTCTATACAGCATAGATGAACAGCTTTGTACATCTCTGTACATGTACGCAAACATGGTGTTAGCAAGTTGTTGTTTCAGCGTTCATAAGTGAGTTTCTCTAATTGTAGCCAAGTCTAAAATGTATGGTGTAACCATACCATATTTCACCTTTTTTAGTTTCCTTGCATCTGGCTTGGAACACTGGGAGACAGTGCTTTCTGTTTGGGTTTTTTGCACCAAGATGTGGGAAATGATCTACCAGCCCATATTAGATCTGGCAAACGTTGACATGCTGCATAAGGATGAAACCCTTCATAGTAGCTAAGAACTGTGCAGTACTCAAATTAGGAGAAACACATAGTGTATATTGAACACATATTGAAATCATCAAGGAGTAATAGATATAGGTTGAGTAAAGCAGAGTCAGTAGCTACAAAAACTCAGGTAGACGAACTGTTGAACAAAAAGACGCAGCAAAGCCCTTGTAATGTGGTCTTGAAGTAGGTGTTCTATCCAGGCCAATTTAGTGATACGGATTTACGGCATGATACTGATTTACGAATGTACCGTAGGTGAGAGTCACCAGCGAGTGAATGCTAGAGTCACAGCTGGTAAGGGGCTTGTTAAAAACTTTAATGAGGGTTACTTCTTCCCACGGACTGGTTTGAAACCCAATTAAAAAGAGCTCATGAAGTGAATTGTACCAGGATGGGAACAAAAGCCCATGGTCACACAACACTGAATGACAGCAGAAAGGTACCTGGAGGGAACAGAAGGGAGGAGGCTGGCTTTTTCACACAGAGCGATAATAAGCAGTTTGAAAGAGCCTTGTACGTTTCTCAGTGAAAAGAACATTATGAGCTGTCCACAGGGGAGTGCTGTATCTAAAAATAAGAGATAGTGATTTAAGTCACCTAATATAAGTGCTGGATGTGTACAGTACAGACTTCATTTATATATTTTGGCTATGTTTATAATTGGCTCTCAAAACACATTTCCTGTTCTAAGAATCATCTAAGAAAGCTAAGCCAATACTCAGTGTTAAGATTTCTGATATTTTTATCTAGAACAGTCTGAATATGCACTACAGTAGGCTCATATGGGGCTATTGGGTTTTCCGTAGTGATGTACAGTATGTTACAGTATGCTTGGACTGTATTCTGTCTCTCGTGTCATGAAAATTCAATTAAATTCAAAATACTTTATTCATCCCAGGAAGGCAATTTAAGGAGGGCAATATAAAAGCCCCAGCATCTTTGAGAGGCACTATATAAAAATAATTACAGTATGTGCCTTGAGATGATGTGCTGAAAGGCACTATATACAGTGTTGTTTTGTTCACTGATCTTGTGTAATGTGTTTGCAAAGAAACTTTGCTCTGATTTCACACACACCTTGAGAACTGGGCAGTAAGTGCCTGCTGGGTGGCATTTAGCCTGACCTGGTGTCGGGGCTCACACCATGTGCCTGTGCTTGATGAGCAGGCTGAGCAGAGTGGAGCTCGGGCTGCAGAGCTCCAGAGGCAGCAGGAGGAGAGCAGCCAGCGGCACAGGGAGCTGGGGGAGAGGCACCGCGCAGCTGCGGAGGAGCTGACCCAGCGAGACAGAGAGCTGGGACAGCTGCGCGCGGAGCTGGCCGCCGCCGAGGCAGCCCGGCACGAGGCTCTGCGGAGCAGCCAGCTCCAGGAGGAGCAGGTCCAGAGACTGGGAGCTGAAAACCAGAGTTACCAGGACAGGCTAGGGGAGCTGCAGGCCAAGGTAGGAGCTGATCAGTAACTGCAGCATTGTAGCCCACTGGCCTTATCTCTCAAAAGGAGGAGGGTTGTGTTAGGGACCTGGTCAAATGAGGTCAGATTTGGTCGCTTTATTTTACTTCCATTGTATTCATTACTCCTATTCAGTCATCCTGCTCTATAGGAAATACAGTCTGAAGCACCAGTTGAAATCTTATTTCTGGCTGGTATAGTCATCAATTAGCATGTTGGTCTTAGAAAGCAGAATGACTAATTTTTCCAAGTACGTTGATTGATGTAATTTGGGTAAATTAGCTGTACGTGCAAAAATAAAAATGGGGTATTTCTCTGTTCTTGGTCTTTTGTCCCTTGCATGTGAGGGGTATGTTTTGGTACATTAACGCATCAAAAAATCTTTTTGTATCTTAATCCTTTCAGTACGAAGTGACGGATGGCCTTGGTGCACTAAATCACCTCAGGCTTGTCATTTTGGTGTATTAATATCTGTTCTGTAGAGTCCTCTCAAACTAAAGTCCCATATATCTATAAGAATTCTGTAAGACCCACCTCTAGTCCGGGAACCTTTAAGTGACTCCCACGTGGTTCATAGTGTAAACTGCTCTTGTTGTGATTAATCACCTGATCCTGCTTTCTCTCTCACGTGTCTGTTGTGTAATTGCTCGCTGTAGTCATGGATCCATGCAGTATGGTATTTCCACAATGTCCTTGCATTTCATCATATTTTAAATAAAGTAGGTCTGTTATGCTTGCAGAAACAGCGAATAACTGGGTACTTTACAGGTAATTATGGGTAATTCACAACAATTTCTGCAAACCTGAAATCCTTGAATGGTATAACTTACATTATTCAATTTGTGACTGGAAAATAGAGAATGGAGCAAACCCCTGAATTCACCCTTTTCCATAAAGAAAAAAAAGCCAATGAAAGATGACAATGTTTCCACTCGAAATTGCCCAGATTTCGTTTAAAACATTTAAAACATGATACATAAGATACGTAAGGGATATTACTTCAATGTACTGATTCAGAAGGGTACAGTCAGTAATTATATCTCAGTCTTGTCTGCCCTGATGTTTGGAACATTTGCTTTTTATGTAATAGTTTACAGAAATATGTGAAAAGTAGAGTGGCTTGGGAGGGTCTCCTGTCATGTCCTACCGCTCTCGTCCTCAGCTGTGGGAGAAGGAGGAGAGGCTGGCTGCCCTAGGTTCAGAGGCTGCCTCTCTCAGGGCAGAGCTGCAGGCTCACGGCAGTGATGCTGAGGCTCTCCGCCAGCAGCTCCACACCTCCCAGGACGCACTGCAGCACGTCACCGCAGACTTGAGAGCAGCCAGGAGAGAGGCAGAGGACCAGGTAACGCAATTCACATGTTACCTCTCTGGCAACCTGCTATTATCCACCTGCAGGGTGTGTATTTGTTTATATTTTCTTATCCCACTGTTGATTCTGGATCCCTTGCTCCAAAAAGTCATAGCAAAAAGTTTAAAATCAAGCTCATTTAGTCTGCTGCCTTTGTGGGTGGTGTTCCTTGCCCACTGTGTTTTGTTGTTGTTGTTCAGGTGGCTCAGAGTGAGGACAGGATTGCAGAGTTCCAGGCTGACATGGCTCAGCTTCAACAGCAGTATTCTACCTGCTACAGTCAGGTACTGTTCATTGAACAAGCCTTTCCAAACTCACATACAATACAGCTGAATTACTTAGAATTCGTCAAATATATTTTAAATTAAAGCAGAGCACTAAGAGTACCTGTTTCCTTCAGCTGCTCTAAAAATTCTGTAATGATGCATTTTTTTCTGGTATTGAGCTACGGTATCTGTGGAGATTATTGATGAAAGTCTGAAGGAGAAGTTATGAAGAGAATCTTAATATTTTGATTTTGTGTGTAAATTGTTGAATTTAACTACTACTTCAAAGACCTTTTAGATCCGCATTCACTGACTGGAAAAGCCTTTTTGTTAAATTTACTTGAAGTAATAACGTATTTGTTTTGACACATAGAGCACTACTATGTGTAACAGGCATTTGGGAGCTCACCTGCTCCCGGGTGTTTAAAGGTGGATGAGTGAATTGGCGAATGAGTGTTTTCTGTTCTTAGCTGGTACAGGAGGAGGAGAGCACTGCGAGGTTGAAGGCAGAACTGCAAGACATTGCAGAGCAACGGGACAGACTGGCCTCTCAGGTCTCAGAGCTCAGTGCGGAGACTCAAAGGCTCCATGCTGAGCTTGGGCTGATCACTGAGAAACACAGGGCAGCACAAGAGGAGGTACTGTAATTGCAACACCTTTCCTAACCAGTGATGTCATACATACACTATGACCTCATAAACAACTTACAAGGCATAAGGTCAAGGGTAGTCACAGGAAACAAGTCTTCAGAGCCACGGATATCACAGGTTAATGCTCAAGCTCAGCTTTGCAAATGAGGTTGACATGCTTGTTAAAAATGTGACAAGAAGGAAAAAATGTGTATGACTGTATCTTTCCCTGCAGAATCAAAATAATAATTTCTTTAAATAATACAGGACCTGATAGTCTCATACACATAATTTAAAATCTTACAATTCAAATTGTACAGTTCAGAAACAATTCTTCCAGGTGTCTGAAAACAAGATAGAGAGTTATTGTTTTTTCTGAAAGAATTACTTTGAGGTTTTGAAGATGTGAAATTCAATACGGTCTCACATGGTGTGATAGTGATGAGCATCTGTCTGCAATGTACTGTAGGTGGGCAGTAGGGATGACGCAGTCCTGAAACTCACAGCTGAGCTGAAGATCATCCAGGAGAACCTGAGAGCTTCTGAAGAGGAGGTGAGCAGATTGATTCCTTCAGTGCTCTGTAGCAGGAGACCAAGTACAGTCGATCTTCATCATGGGCATGGTGAACTTCAATTAAAGAACATTTAATGGTTCTACGCTTATAGCTAAACCTTTAAAGTTGGATTTCTACCAACACATGGTTTTCTTGATTGGTTCACAACATCTTTGTTTTGAGTTTTTAACAATGCTTGTAGCTTTTTTTCTTTTTGGAGAAAATCACAATGTTTGGCTTTCATCGAAAAACAGCCTGAAGAGTTACCCACCAGTATGTTTGCCAGGACACACACAATCTTCTGGTCAACTGTGTTTTTTTTTTGCAAGACTGTCCTTGTTGCAGACAAGGAAGTGGGACGGTGCTGTCACTTTAGTATGGAAGGGTTGTTTTGACTTCCCTGGAAGTTTTTTAGGGAGTGGTGAATAATGCATCCCAACCTGCTACATGTGCTGTTTTTATCATTAGCATGTCGCACGGCTATCTGCAGAATACTTATGAGTGCCTGCGAAATGTTTGTGATGTTATTTATTTATGTCAGCCTCTCAATTATTCATTTGTTTATTTATTCATGGCAGAACTAACTGCAATTGGAAAATTCATTTTTGCTGAAGGGCATATTCCCCCACAAAGGGAAGAGGGGAAAGCACATCAGGCTTGTTAGTAATTGCTTTATGTGGCGTTTCCTTTGACTCGCAGGGAGATGTCATTTTAATACGAACGGACGGGTGAAGAGAGAGAGATGGGAAAAGGAAAACACGATGAGTTTATCAGGCCTTTTTTTTCTTGATTCTTCACAAAACTCGGCACTATGGGGAATTAGTGCAATTGGAGGCAGGGGTTCAGGCAGAAATTACAGAGAATCACAAAGCACGTTGCAAACATCATTCAACAGCTTCTTCCAAAAGTACAGTAGACTAGGCTGATGTATACTTTGTCTTTGTTTTCCTTTTTTTCCCATGCAGTCCTGTCTTCTTCTTTTTGCATCCCCTAGTTATAATATCGGCTTTAATTGACTGGATTGAGCTATATTTTTTGCTTTGTTTTTTTTCCATAGTGAACATGATACAGTATATCCTTTCAGAGAGAATTCCCAGAGAATCCCATCTACATCTGGGAACATGAGCTTAGTGTTAAGAGTGTTTCTGTGATTTTATTATATACAAAGTGAATCTTAAAAGAAAATGTCAGATTTTTCTTCTGTCATATGTAACAGTGCATGTATTTTCTAGAAAGGGAATAGAATACGTTTCAGATAATCTGTTCACAAATGGATGTAGACTTTGTCCGCGAAGCTGGAATTGTCTCCGGCATGATACTGTTTCAGTTTGAAGTGATTTATTAATTGAAACAGCAGCCCCTTTCCTCTTGCTTCTTGGTTCAGTCACGTAAGTAAACTTGGAAAACATGAACATGCCACACGTCATTTAAAAGCACAGCAGTTTCATAGGCTTGATTACTATTTATATGAGCTGAATAATTAAATAGCAAAACGCTGGGGTACAGCTGACAAAAATCAATTAGGGAATTTATTAAGTCCTGGAGAAGCAGACGAATAATAACCAGGAGGGCTTTAATAAATGAAAAAGAATGCTGTTTCGTCTCTGAAGAGAAGCTTCCTTAGTGGTGGAGTGCTGTAGGGTGTTTTTCTCTGTAGAAGAACCCAATAGGTTTTCTGTTTATCATTTTATTACTGAAGGAGAATGAGGTTAGGGCTGATCTATTACTAAGAATGCTGAGAAAAGAAAAACATGCAGACAGAGTCAGCATTGCTTGTGCAATGTAGACCTTCTGACCAAAACTCTGCTCAAATTCACCAGCATGATACTGCTGGCTTGCTTGGTCCCTAGTACATGAGTTTCAAAGCCATGTGTGAATGAATTGCTTTGATTGGCAGAAGTCTATGATGTATGCATTCAAGTCACAATGAGCTTAAAGTGAGAAATAACCTTTGCTTATAATATAATTTCTAACATTTGTTTTTATTGTGGATGTACCGTAGAACCTTCCGTAAACAATCATTTCTTTTGAACACAACTCATGGCTTCTTTGTGGGAAGAAATATGTCCATTTCCCAGGGTGTTGACAGTGGTTCATGTTTTCTTTCCAGCTAACAGTAAAGGGTTCAGAGGTGCAAAATCTGTCCAGGAAGATGAAAGACCTGCAGAGTGATATGAGGACCCTGCAGGACATCCTGAGTCAGAAGGAGGTTGCTATGAGCCGGCAGGAGCAAAACTTGGCTGAGCTCCAGCAGGAAAGAGAGAGACTCCTCACACAGGTTAGAATGTGTCTTAGTGCCACTCACACACTAAGCTGCAGCTCCCAGTGCCACCATCAACAAACAGTCTGCAGCTCCCAGTGCTGCCATCAACACACAGTCTGAAGCTCCCACTTCTTGTAGTTGACATACAGGAGTAGATATACATTTTCAAAACATATTTAAGAAGTATTTAACTTTGAGTTCAAAATACCTGTTAGGAATAATTTGTTTGCCTTAGTAGGTCTGGGGCTACATAAGTATTGCCCTTCACTTTAAATGTTTCTTGCAAATTAAAATCATTTTGATGTTAAACTATTTAGCATGTATTTGTTTTAGATTTATTGAAATCGGTCTTCCTAGACCACACGTTTTCATCCCTTGAATTCTTGTCTAAATATTTATACTGAGTCTTATTTTTTCATTTATCATACATGAACTGAAAAAAGGCATCAATTACTAACAATATACTGTAACATGTTTTCGCAGTGTACTTAAGATGACAAATACCAACAAACTGCATTTGACTGCAGAATTCCAATTAGTATCTTTTAATTAGGAGCTTGTTGCTCTAGGCACAGCTTTTTCCATTTATTTTAATCTCGTTTGTTTACCTTAATGGTTTCAGAATATATTTTTTAATTAAATTGCATTGATTCTATGCCCTTATTAAAATAGAAACACTCATATGTTATTTTTCACTGTACCCATCTCTCATCTCATGGGGCCCGAAAGCTCTGTCCATTTTCCAGCCAGGCAAGGTTTATCATTTTTAGTGGTGGCCGTTGATGGGCTTTGGTTATGATGCAGATGGTGCAGGATAATTTACAGCTGAATGTAAATTAGAAGCAGTGTGTGTAGTAATGATGGTGATGGTATTAACGTCTGGAAAATAGAACGTTTCCCAAAACCTTGATTCAGTGTCTGTCTTAGCTTTTTAATAGGGGATTCAATGGTACGATTTGGCCTGTACTGTGCATTACAGGCCTGTTAACAAGCATTAACTGTTTATAGCCAGTGAGTAATGGACGGTGCGTCTGCAGATGGTTAACATTGCTCTCCGTGCCAGCCGGAAAGCTCTTTTTAATTTTGACTGATGACTCAGTTTATCTTCTACATATAACACCCCCAGCACCGCGCCACCTCCCCCCCTTCTGTTTTCCCATGCCCCCTCCCCGGTATGAAAATGATATTAGAAACAAAATGAGATTTGAAATTTCATGTTTGACAAGCGCCTTGATGAAAGGGTTTCATTGCAGGGTCTGATCCATGGAAATGTTATGCTAATAATATTGCTGGCCAAGCGATCTACTTGGAAATGAATCAGAGTGGCAGAGAAGGAGAGAGAGAGGCAGCGGCTGCTCAGTAAACAGCACTTTCTCTCTCTCTCTCTCTTTCTCCATCCCAGAATCTCATCAGAAATAGCCATGAGGTGTTTCTGTCTGATGAGGTTGTGAGAGAAATAGGGAGTTAGAAAATTATACCGCAGCTTATCGCTGATTGATGCAGTAATTTATGCAGCCATGCAGCACACTGGTTTAATATGGATTAGGCTTTTCTGTTTTTCATGACTCCTCTTGAAGAGTGAGAATACTATTTTATGTTTTCCCTTTATTCCTCACAGCTGTCAGGGTAATACACGTTATAATCTTTTTCATTTTTGTTAGATATTTGTGTATGTATTATCAGCTTCTAATCATAAAGAGTGTACATATTATGTATTCACAAACGTATCAGAGATTCAGAATACTTTCCCTTATGCTGTGCCATTGATAAAAGCCTGGAGAATAGCTCAGCACCTTCTAAAGCCATTTTAACTGCTCAGGCTTGTAAAAATACAAAAACAAGCGCAGTTTAGCAAACAAGAGCAAATGTCTTAGGTCTCTCTTTCAGTTACTTTCCTTTAATATTGTTTAGAATGTTTTCTAGGGTTTCGATTGAGAGTTGGTACAATGTTTAATATTATCCCAAAGTTTGGTTCAGCATTATCATAAGGACATTCTCAGATTTGAATCAGATTTAATGTTTAAACTCTTAACTGCTTTGCCTTATTTCTAATGCATTATGTTGTTATTATCAGTCCAGCATTCTAATACAAAGATCTGTTTAGAATTACAGTAAGGACATCCTTGAAACTGACATCCTCTCTCACTAGATTCAGAAAGAATGCTGAGGCCTGCTTTCTGTCCGGTCTCTATTTTGTCGCTATGTCATCATTGACCAGTACCCCTGGCTGTACTTCAGAGCGAAGACCAGGAGAGGGCACTGTCCCAGCTGCAGGGCGAACTGCAGTGCTGCCGCACCGAGATGAGGGAGCAGGCAGAGAGGGGCGAAGGAGAAGTGGCCAGGCTGCGAGGCGAGCAGGAGGCCTGTCAGAGGGAGCTGCAGGACACACTAGGCCGCCTGCAACAGTACCGCGCCACAGTGGACCGGCTCAGCACCGACCTGGAGCTGGCCCAGAGACTGCACAGGGAAGTGGAGGAGGAGGTGAGACTGGGGTATCACAGGTGCGGATGCTCTGTGTTGCCTCTTGAAGGTCTTCACTGGCAGTGATCTCAACCTCTCCTCAGATCCATATATCCATATATATCCATATATAAAATAACTGAATGAGGAGTTTAGTAATGTCAGGGAAGGTAATGTAAGATCACTGGTGTGGGTGTGTCCCTTTTCTGTGATTTTTCTCTGAAGCCTTTTTGTACATCCCAACATTCCTTTTCCTGTGCAGTTGTTTCCTGCCTCAGTGTTGCCTTCTCAAAGCAGTGTGCTCAAGGGCAAACTTTCTTTTTACATCTTGTATTCAGACTCACTAGGTACCTAATTGATGGGGTTTTTTGGTTGCAGATCATGCAGTACTTCTCCCTGGATTCTATGCATATATCCTTCTACCTGTAGTAAAAAAACAGCCTTATAACAAGTTGATTCTGGAAAAGGGGTCCTCGTTATTGTCCCACTTTTTCATTTCACATTTCCGTGTCTCCTTTTTTGAGCAACAGTTTTGACTATTCTTTTATCTGTTTTGAACTCGTGTCTTTTTCTGTGAGATTTGAGTTGGGGGTCGACCAAAACTATCTGTGGCTGTGCATTCTGCAGTCTGAGCACTCCTAGGAGTGGGATGAGACAAATGTGTGGAGAAAGGGTGTCAAAACTCTATGCATTACTGTACATATTCATATATTTTGAATTTTGGAAAAATATCCAAACCTGACCTACACTTATTTCATTATTTCTTACAGCACAGAAGTCCCTGATAATTGTTTCCTTAAAGAGTTTGTTGGAATGTATTCCCCATTAATTACATTAATTCTTATAGGAAATAAAGTTTAATTATTTTGAGTTTCCCTGTCATACCTGTGTTCCAGGAAAGTATGACAACTAATGAGTGCCCTCTGTATTAAGAGACAAAACAGATTGAATTGATTGGCGCTGTTGTTCACTATATAAAGGCTGTAGCACACTGGTGCCTCAGTGATGTCCGGCAGGCGACAGCTCTCCACTGTGTGTGCTGTGCTGTCTCTAGGTGTCCCAGCGTGAGAAGCGTCTGCGAGATCAGGACTCGGAGGCGGCTCGCCTGCAGACGGACCTGCAGGAGAGGGTGTCGGAGGCGGCGGCGGCCAAGGCCCACTGTCAGTCGCTGTCGGACTCGCTAGACGTGTACAAGCAGAAGTACCAGACCTGTCTGGCTAAGGTGACAGACCTAGAGAGCACGCTGCAGGCCAGGGAGGAGGATCTGAAGGAGTCAAGAGCACAGGTCAGAGAGCCAGCTCTGTGAGCCCAGGTTGTTTTGCACAGAATCTGAAGATCATTTTTTGATATCATTGCTGCATCCATCCATCCATCCATGCGTGATATCACACCAGGGCCGATTTTCTCAGAAGCTAGTTAACCTACCAGTAAGTCTTTGGACTGTGGGAGGAAACCTCAGGAAACCCATGCAGACACAGGAAGAACATACAAACCAAATATGGACCCAGGGCTCCAGCACTGTGAGTCAACAATGCTGACTCATTACTGTGTGTTGAGCAGAATTTTTTTTTTCGAATTGCTTAGGCTCATTCATGAGTGCTGGTGTTTCACCTTGAAGAAATACAAAGCTCGATAGGTTAAAGCCTATGCTGCCATGAAATGTGAACACTCAATGTATGACAGGAACCAAAGATGGGCAGCAAAAAGTAATCAGGTCAAGAACGTAGGACAAGATCACAAAGAAGGAGGCCATTCAACCCAGGTTGATAGCATCACCCTACCTGAGGCTGGCTTGCTCTGAAAATGCTGTGTATCTCAGGTGTCAGAGCGTGACGATGAAATCCTGAGGCTGCGGGCAGAGGCCATGGTGCTGCACACAGACCTGGAATCTCATTACACCCAGCTGGAAAGCAGTGATGAGGCCATCAGCACCCTGAGCCAGCAGCTGCGGGACACCCAGAGACAGCTGGAGGACAGTAGCAAACACAGCAAGGAGTGCGAACTGGTTATCCACACGCTGAGAGACCAGACAGCAGCACTGCATGCCCAGGTGAGAGAAACTGGATAAGGAAGACATAATGCTGCTGCCCCTGATACAGGTGCATTCTGATTAATATCCCCTAGAAAAGTAGCAAAATACAATCTGCACAGACTACATACAGTAGGGGTGATCATGATCATTGGTTGGTTGGTGTCCTAATCCTGCACAAGGTATTTAGGGAGAGTCATAAAGCCTGTTTGGGATGTTGTTTCAGAAGTGGTCAAAAGTGGACAAAGAAAGATTAAAGGGCCCCACATCTTACAGTTTTAAAGGATGAGAAAATTGAAAAGCAACAGCTGGGAACTGTTGCTAGGAACTAACCAATGCCAGCTCCTCAGAAAAACGATGTACATGCTGCCCACTTGCTCGAGCTGAGGGTCTTGTGTGTGTACTGTGTACTGTGTATGTGCCTGTGTGGGAGAGAGAGAAACACAGGCCTGTGCCTCACAAGGAAAACATCGTCAAAGCTGAAATAATTAGCTAATTATGAAGTGGAAGAAAGGCTTCCCTGTCAGAGAGCAGTCACTGCAGCCAACAAGACGAAGAGTGAAGTGTCTTTCTGCTCCTCTGCCCTCAGCACCCCCTCCTCTGCTCAGCAGCTTGCTTCACTTGCATGGCCAGCAAAGGGAGCAGACTTCCATTAGCGACACTGAGCCACTCAGTCGCAAACGAGCAGTATTGATCTCTGCGCCGCCTGTCCTGTGAGCTCAGTCAGGGGGCTATACACACCACATTCTGTTTGTTGCTTTTGCTTTTTCGTTTCTGTATATTTTAAGTGGTCATTTTTTTTTTGCTAAAGGTCTTGTACTTCTATGAAGTATAGTTTCCATCGTTATTATGAAAAGATTCATCCCGCATATCTTATATTTTGATTTTGAATGAGAGAAAGATGGAGAGATTTGGCCAGGCTATTTTTGACAAGGATATTATTGTAGCTTAGTGATTGTAAAAAAAACAGTGGAAAACTGATCTGACACCATGTCTCTTTCTTCAAATCCATCTGAAGTCGGATTTCAAGAGACCTGTTGTCTAAATTTATTATTTTTAGGAGGTGATTCAAGCCTTTCAGTCTGATTACATACAATTGCAGCTCAACAACAGCACATGACAAACTAGAATGAGGACCTTCATATACAGTAAATGACTTCTGTAGTTCTAGTATGGAGGTCTTATCAAATACTAAAATCCCTGGCAAGGTAGAATAATAGATTTATCTATCCGAAACTGCAGTGCATGCTAGTCAACAGCCATCATGCTTAAGACATGGAGACGTAGGGGGAAAACTCACCTATCTTTTTTTGTCAGGTTAATTTCAAGAAGTATACAGATGTGAGCTTCAGAGTATCAAATCATAATGAAAACCTTACAGAGACTGTTCTGAGGAAGAGAGGATACTAAGGCCTGCCACCTAACAGTTCAGAACATACTTTAGTGCAAAAGCCTTAACTTCCAAGAGACTCCTATTGTAATTCCTACTGTATATAAATATCAAATGTGTCATCAAATTGTGTTTGATAAGATCTTAGATGAAAGGATCAGCATAATACCATTTTAAATCGGAAGCATTCTTTGCATTTTTCATTATAGGCTGCAGCACTGAACCTTATGATCAAATTGTATTCATGCTGATATAATAAGAAAACAGGGACAGGATGAGAGCATAGATACCTGGACTGCACTGACATCTTCAGCCTTTTGGGAGACCTGAATATATTCTGCACATTTTCAGATGAAAATGTATTTCTTCAGCTCACATGATTTTCTCAAGTACATCTTAGGCTTTTTCTTCATTTGTCTCACCCCTTACTGTCAATCCAGTCTGACTGAACTTCACAATTATTATATACAGTGTGTCTTTTATTTAGATGAATACAACAGCCTTCTTCCAAGAAACCAGCCTTGACCATGGTGAATAGTATAAGCAAATGAGGCATTTCCTATTATTTTTGTATTTTTAAGTGTAAAAAAGTTAATTTTGTAAATCACTGCAAGTAAATAAGAGGGGGTGGTCTTCAAAAAGGTGTTATAATGTTATTGGTATGGTTTATAAACTGAACCAAATTATTCTCCATAGATCTACAGTAGGAAGGCGGCACTGCTTCACATGTGTGCAAATGTCTCTAACCCTGTTAGCACAAGCAGCCTTGTTACTGATGCGGGGCTGGTGTGAGGTTAGGGTTTGTAAGACACTGTCTGTGCAGGGCAGGTTGTTATGGCTGAGGTTGTGTGTATATGTGTTTGCAGTTGGAGGAGCAGGAGGAGATGGTGGTGAAGATTCAGACTGATTTCTCCGCGTACCGAGCGACACATGCCCATTCTGACTCTGAGTACGAGGCACAGCTCTCACACATCGAGCTGCTCAAACAGGTATCCCTTTCATCCAGCTGTCACACCTGTGCTCCCTGTCAGCCAGAGACAAGCCTGATCTGCTACCATCCATAATGAGGCCTGGCACAGTCTTTGAATTGGTTTGATCCGATCCCTTTTATAACTGTGAACAATATTACTGTGAGGAAATCCATTGCACAATGGATTTGATGACATGATGCTTCATTTCTAGTGAGGAACTACGAATGAATGAAAATTAAATTTGTTCTTATTCAAAAGGTGAAGAAATAATAGCTACAGTATGCATGGGCTTAAATGGAATTATATAGGATTTTTTTTGCATTCTGTCTGTCTTTTCCTGTGCATATGCATGTGCGTCCTCAGAAGAAAAGCCACGTTACCCACCTTAACCACCTTCTTGACTAATTGTTTGTTATGTCAGCGCGTGTGTGCCTGTTTGTTTTTAATAGAGTGTAGCAGACCAATCCGTCAGCGTGTCGACAAGGGAAAGTGTCGGTTGAAGTGCTGGCGTCCCACTAGACTGGCTGGGCCGTGTGCAGTGATTTACAGCCCTGATCAGCACAGCCGGCTGGCCGGGGAACAGCCACTCTGTAAAGCCCAGATTGATTACCTGCAACCCTTGTCACTGCTGCCCGCCATGTTTTCTCAACCTTTTAGCACAGTTTTATAGACGGTTAGAGCTGCTCGTTTGGCTATTTATACATTTGTAAGTGGCCATGAAATATAGATTTGTCTTGATGGTTGTCAGCAATGTGGCTGTGGAACAGCTGTCGCGTGACATCTCATTATTTTAATGGTTTAAAATGAAGGAGGAGGCTTTCTGTAATACTTCTCCAATTCTTTTTATGAACTACATAATTTTTACTTTCATTCCTCTTTTAAATGCATATACTGCAACGGGAAAAGAACTGACAGTGATTGTGACTGACAACTCCAAACTCATTGTACTTTCTGATCTTATCATCTTCTCTGATAAACAGCTTTGACCTGTTGCTTAGCTCTTCTACAACATATACCGTCTTCAGTTCTTTGACATCCACATCAGTGCATGACAAAGTTAAAGAAAATTGCATTTGTTCAATATAAATTAACAGTAAATCTAATGCAATTTGAATAAACTTTGCAATATCGTTTGTTGTTAAACCTAACAAAGGTTATGGGGCAACTGTCCATTTGTGGGTATAGAAATGTTTATGCTTTAACATAAATATTTTAATTTTTCAATTGAAATGAGAAATTTGGCAAAACTCTGGAGTATAACTACAAAGCATACAGTATATGCACACTGCCCTCAGCACTTCTTATCTCTTAGGAAGGCTTTAGTGGTGCAGAGACGATCAGTCGCCATTCCTGAAGTGATTGTCTCACTGTCTGCTCTTGCTGGGGTGGAGTGACAGATGTGTGAGGGGGAAATTGCAGCTGTGCAGACTCTTGTCTCCTCAGGAACTGTCCTGTGCTGTGGAACAGTGTGCTCAGGGCTCCCAGCAGCTCAGCGAATGCCAGGCGGCTCTGCGGCAACTCAAGGAGGAGTTGTGCAAGCTGTCAGAGCAGAGGACCAACAGCATGAAAGGTGCAGAGCCCTTTCTTCCTAAGGGAGATCTACCATTTATCATCCGCTTGTGTGGCTCTGTGTTCCACTAATATCGTATCATTTTGAAATCAGTACAAATGTAGTGTCAGTATTCTGCAGAGGTGGGTGTGTTGCGTCGTGGGCGACTGTGTAGCAGTGGATCACATGCTGATCTCTCAGATGCCCTGCGGCGACTGAGGCGTTCTTCTTGTTTCAGAGGTGCTGAAGCAGGAGGAGCTGGTGAGGCAGCTGCGCGCGGAGGTGGGAGCCGCGACTCTGAGGAGGCAGGTGGAGGTGGAGGCACTGGAGCAGTCCATAGCCAGGCTGGAGGAGGACCTCAGGGAAGCCAACCGGCTGTTGGCCCAGAAGGAGCAGGTATCCTCTTACTCGGAAACCGCAGAAAGCCCTCTAAGTGGTAGAACCAAGAGATCTGGTCCAAGCTCAAGTTCTATACATCTAAACCAAGCTTTACAGAACATGTACTGTCTGTTGAAGTCTGTACACTTGTCAAAAGTTTACTAGGCAACAGCTTTCCTGTCGGGAATCTTTATTTAACACATCAGCAGGCACTGCAGCTTGCTTCTCAGTGTTTTTCACATGCAATATAAAGAACACAATAGTTGTAGTTCACTCCACCAGCACTCAAGCCCACTGCTCCTTCCCCAGGCCGTGCAGAAGAGGGACGATCTTTTGAGGAAATCAGAGGCAGATCTGATGGACGCTCGTGAGCTGATCAGAGGGAAGAAAACAGAGGTTGAGCGGAAGGCAACAGTGGTAAAAGGCCTTGAGGCTGATATCCAGAGGCTGAGACGCGAGAGCCGACAGAGACAAAGTGAGAGAGCCGCCCTGCAGGCTGAAGTGCTGCAGCTCAAGGAGGACTTGAAGGAAGTGCACACCCAGTTCAGGGACACAGGTGCATCTGCTTTCTCTGCTACAGTCCTCCCTGTCTGAACAGTGGTGCAGAAAAAATGGTTTTGATGAGCCCTTGACTCCTTGAGACATGAACATAAATCCAATAATGACTAAAAGTGAAATCGGATTCAGTCTTCTGCCAGTGGAGTGAAGAGCTGTGAATTAGTATTCTTATCTCAAGAGAACTGGGCGATGATGTCCCTTGATTTGTCTTGTGCATTTTTTTCCTTTCTCTTTTTCTTCAGTCAGTGACTTCAGAAAAAAAAAATTACCCAAATAAGAAACGGAAGGAAATGAAAAAAACAAACTTTGTGCAAGTTTTCAACCTGCAGTAGCTCTAAGCCCTTGTTATTATAAATGTTTCTTCTTATTCTTGGTTATTATTATTAGCAGCAGTGGCATGTAATGCTCAGGGCCCCAGGGGCTCTCTTTAATAAGCTGTATAAGTCGGTCACCTGTTAGCATGCTGCTCCAGCAGCTAGTCAGAAATAAAACGGCTCATCAATTTGCCGCCCCGGGCCGTGTCGCACTCAGACAGGAGAGCTGGAGACACAGAGCCTGACAGCGGGACTTAACAGCTGCTGTCTCTGTCCCTGCCATATCCAGACAAGGCCGCAAGGACTCGGTCACTCTCCCTCAACATACGGCTGTCATCTGAGAGCTGGGAGGTCACATGTTAACTGTACCGCTCAGCAAAGAAAGAATCTAAGCCTGTTTTGTTTACAGTTGCTCAAGTGTTGTTTTTCTGCTTTCAGAGAAAAGTGTTTTGAATTACCTGTGGATTACAGACTAAACCTGTTGCCACAATAAGTAATTGCACTGTATATAAGATGGAGGTTTACAGTGTCATGTCACACAGTTGGTATTTTGATCAGAAGGGTTTGAGATACGTGACATTCTAAACAAATCACACCGGTTTGTCCACTGATGACAAGCTAAAACATGGGTAGTTCTTCAACCTATATTATCAGGACGAGTTTGACATGTATTCATTACTAGTGACCAAATTCTCACTCTGCAAGATATCCTGAATCCCCTTCCTTTGTCCTACTCCAGGTATGAATGACTGCCTTACACAAAGGGTTGTGTAACAGTTGTGTTTGTACTGTATGGGAGTAAAGAACCCATCTCTCGGCTGCTGGCTCACTTAATGCTTTGCCAGTGGCCTGCGGAAACTGAGACTAGGCGCATTACGTTTACTTGTTGTCAGGCCTTAGGCGAAGTGTACTTCCCAACATCAAAGCAGCAAACTCAGGGATGCTCTTCAGTGGACCCAGGGCTCTCTCCAGTGCTTCACAGCCCGTGTGCGCATGTGTCCTGCAGCCCAGCAGCTGGCACGCCAGGAGGAGAAGGTGGTGCTCGCGGAGGGGGGGCAGCACCGGGCCCAGGAGCAGCTGGGCGAGCGGGTGGCGGAGGTGGTGCGCCTGGAGCAGACCCAGAGGAGGCTGCAGGCTGAGCTCCGGAGAGTGAAGGAGCGGCTTGCGGACGCTGACCAGGAGATAGAGGATTACAGGTACTCGCGCAGCCGGAGCCTGACCGCCGCGCGCGGTTCTCAGCTAACTGCAGTGAAGGTCCACGGGGATCTGTATCAGGACCGTTGTCTAATTCGCGTGAGCGATCTCGATTCTGGTAAGGTTAGCAAACCAGTGAAGCTGCGCAGATGATGCCTGGGAGGATTAGCAAATACTGTAGAAGAAATCAAATGGAATTTAAAAATAGAGCTCAAAACTAGGCAAACATAACTTGAAATGAACACACGTGCACATACTGTAGCAAAAACATAAACTGTAGATAAAAAATTGGAAAGGTTGAGCTTGAAAAATAAGCTACTTATATTTTTGTTGTATGTCCTCAGATGGAACAAAGCAATTCCACTAACCGCAGAGACACACAACTCCCAGGGAAAACGTACACCTCAAACCAAGCTGCCGTGGGGGAAAAAAATGTTTTATGGCAGTTAGTACTAGCTTTTAAAGGGCAAGTGTATTGCATGTGAACTCATATGAATTCATCCTCTTCCCCCATTAGTTTATTAAAGAAGCTGCCCCCTTTCCCAATCCTGAAAGGCTGAGGCATGTAGTGTGTTGCCTTTAATGCCGTCATTCAGTTAACATCTTAGCAGTGTAACCCTACTGCTTCCCTGCCTGTCTTGTGTCTGTGCATACAGGCTGGTCGATGTGTGGATCATTTCAGGTCAAGGCCTGTCGCGAAATCAGTTGTTTAAATGGCAAAGCAAAAAGGAATCTGAAGATCTTAACCAGCACCTTGCCAAAGGTCTCTTGTTCAGTCAGCCAGCCTTGAGCACTAAGTACACCAGCGGCCTGCCAATACACATTAGGGAGGATTTAGTAATTAAGTGATAGGCTGAGGACTAAATTGGGTGTTTGTGGGCTGTGAAGCCAGCCTGAGGTCCCAGCAGCCATGCAGATAGGGGATTTTAATTGCCAGGGATATTGATCAGGCTGGTGAGGGGGTGCTGAGGGATTTCACAAGCTATCGATTAGCTGTTACTGTGGCCAGCTTGTCAATGAAAAGGGATGTGAGTGCTGTTAAGGCTCAGGGCTTTCCCCATACACACAAACGTTTAGTGTGACACAGCAACTCCCGGAAAGCAGTTTTGTCTGTCTCTTTTCTCTTGACAGATGGCTTTCTCCACCACCATACAAGGTGTTTTTTGTTGCCATTCCATTGCTGGCCTTCCCTTGCTGCTGTTCTTACCAATTATTCTGTCTTGTGTGTGCTTTTAATGACTTTTTACTTGGGCAGACAGATTTCAAATGATGCTATTAACTCGAAATTCACCTTCCTGAGTCAATCAAACTGTAAAATTCAGTGGCGTCCACATTCTGTTTGTCACTTACATGTATGGAATGTCTTGTGTGGAGAGAGCAGAGCATACATTCCATCAGAGCAGCTTTAGTCCCTCCAGCATATTCAGTTAAGCCTCTGTGGCCACTTTAATTCTGATTCTCTAGACAATTTTCTTTGTGCAGTGAAATCATAGTGAATAGAAGATTATTTAATTCTCTTTCACTTGAAAAGAAAGGGGGGAAAAAGCAGAGATCAGGGAGAACAGGAAAGTCAGTTTGTAACTTGACCTCAGTGAAGCGAATGGGTGCTTTTGCTGGCGCAGGAGCCTGATGGAGCGTCTGAAGGCGGAGGTGAGCGACTGCAGGCAAGCCCAGCACACCACGCAGCAGGAGGAATCCAGGCACCTGCAAGGGGTGCAGAAGCTGGAGGGGGAGCTGGCCAGAAGCAAGGAGCACATCAAGACTCTGCAACAACAGGTAAGCATGAGGGGACAGACCATTCGGCGTCTGTCCACCTGAAGGGGCGATGCGGTGGCTCTGTGGCTCAGGATCTGCGCCCGTGGCTGTAAGGTTGCCGGTTCGTATCCCACAGCCGGCAGAGGAATCCTACTCCGTTGGGCCCCTGAGCAAGGCCCTTAACCCCAGCTGCTCCAGGGGCGCCGTATAAATGGCTGACCCTGCGCTCTGACCTCAGGCTTCTCGCCCTGCCTGTGTGTCTCATGGAAAGCAAGTTGGGGTATGGGAAAAGACAAATTCCTAATGCAAGAAATTGTATATTGCCAATAAAGCGATCTTATCTTATCTCATTCCCCTCGGCAGGGATCTCAAACCCTGGTGCACTCACTCTTATAGGTAAAGGAGATTGGACAAAAACCTGTAAGCTGCTGTATTGAGGGAGAAGTGAACTGTGAACTCCTACAGTAAATTACCTCTCCTTAATTTATCAGATCACCTGATCACAATGGAAATGTTCCACATCTTCATAAATTGGTATTTTAATGGTGATCTACGAAAGCTGAGGCATGGGGCTCTCTCTCTTGCAGAGGAGTAAGTAAGAAAGATTTAAGTAAGGTGCTATCTTCAGGCTGAAGCTCGCTGTGGACTGGGACAGAAGGGGTAGAGAGATAGATCTAGCATTTTTAAACAGTCTACCCTAGGGAGACCATCGAGTGAAGGGATCTTAATGAGTTCATCCTCATAGTTTGTCCTTATCAGATGATTGAGAGGAATAACCGATGGAGCTGGACATTATGGCAATATGGTGAGATGGATGAACATGCCAGGTCTGTCTTCCTCTCTGTTTGCCCAGCTCCACGAGCAGGTAGAGACAAGTCGGGCACTGCGGGTAGAGCTGGCACAGGAACAGACCAGACAGCACGGGCAGCAGCGCAGCCTGCAGAGTGCCAGGGAGAGAGAGAGTGAATTGGAGAAGGAGAGTGAAGACCTAAGAAAAGCTCTGCTTGCCACACAGCAAAAGGTCAGCACAAGCCTCCCAATGACATACAGTAATGCAGTATAAAGAACTCCAGATAACAGAGAAAATAACCCTCTTCCTTATGACCCTTAATGAAGTCTTGCAATTTGCATCATTCAATTCATGCATCATTCTTCTGCTCTTCAGTGGTCACCCTTTAAAGCTCATATAGCAAATAACAGTGCATTGTAAACATCTTGAAACTGGATTTCAGCTTTTTTTTTTGCTTGCCACACGAGCAAATAGGACAAAGAATAAAACTACTTGTTCTAGCAAAAACAGTTTCATATCAGGGAGGAACCATCATAAAAAAGTTTGTTGTTTAAAATCAAGAAAAATAGTTTATAAAGCAAATTAATGGTCTCAATATCATTGCTTAATTTTGCACATTAAACAATACTATTGAGCCCACTTATTAAATAAATTGAGGTTATTCTTTTGCAAACATGTTGAACCACAAACAATAGATCCAGTTATTTTATGCACTGGTATCAAATATTTTAAAATTAGGTCAGAATAGGCATTTTTTCACCTGTAAAAGGCGTGCATGCCCAAAATTCACTTGCCTTTCAGTGATCATGTAACCAATCATTGGTTAAAAGAAATTAAACCCTTGAAAAAGTCAAATCTGATCAAAAGCTGTTATAATTACTTTACACTTTAAGATTAATCTTCTTAATCCTATCTGAATATCTGTCAGGCATATATTTTTATATTAAATATCTTTCTACCCCTCTAACCTTAATCCTTACTATAAAAATAAACACGGAGCTTAATGTTTACTTTAGAAAGTTTAGGTGTTGAGGTTTATGTATTCATTGATGGGTAAGAAGCAGATAATTTTAACCCTGTCTGCGAGAAGCTGGACTGTGTGAGTGACTCGTGAGTTTCTACAGCTAAAGGATGGCGAAAAACAGATCTGCAGCCTACAGGAGCACATGTCTGAGCTCCAGAGCACCTCCCATGGCCTGCGAGAGGAACATGCAGCCAGCCAAACCCAGCTGCAGCTGTCCAGGAGGGAACTGGAGGCAGCACAGAATCAAAACCAGAGACAGAGTCAGGAGGTGAGGCAGCAGGCATAGGACCACAATCAGAGACAGAGTTAGGATGTGAAGCAGATGGTATAGGACCACAATCAGACACAGAGTCAGGATGTTATTGGGTGAGTCAGCATGTTTAAGACCACAGTCAGAGACAGTGTCAGGATGTGAGTCAGCAGGTACAGGATCAAAGTCAGAAATAGTCAGCAGGTGAAGGACCACAACCAAAGACAGAGTCAAGAAGTGAGGCAGCAGGTACCTGTATAGGACCACAGTTGGAGACAGTCAGCAGGTATAGGACCACAGTAGGAGACAGTCAGCAGGTGAGGGTCAGCCCACTCTGACAAGCACCTTTCTCAGAGTACTGTCCACAATGGCTTTCACATAAGGTTCTTCAACTCTTAAAACCATGGTGCTAAGGATGCAAGGGATAATGATTTATAAATAAAACCATTACATTGTTATAATATTACTACATGAAAAAACAATCGTCTTTGAAAGCATTTTGTGCATTACTCACAAAGAGTTGGAAAAGAAATGGAAATGATTATTTAAGTCAGGTTCATACTATTAGCAATTATTGTTACTGTTTCTGTGTCCTGATCTGACTGTGATATACAGTACAGTAATGTCTATGAGTCACTAAGGCTAAAAAGATGAGTGACTTGAGTGTGTTGTCCTGCAGGTGGCCAGATTGGAAGAAATGGTGTCGAGGCTGAAGGCACAGCTTGAGGCAGCCCAGGAGAGTGGCAGACAGGCAATGCGAGAGACAGCCGCAGCAGAACAGAAAGCTCACGATCTGAGGCTGGAGCTGACCTCTGCCCAGGGCGCACACAAGGAGAACATGGAGCAGGTACACTATAGGCACTCAGGCAACGGGCTGTGCTGAAGGGACAAGGAAACAATATTTCATTTAATTAGACTTTATTCATTTCATCACTCATTTTGAAAACACATAAGTCAAAGAATTAAGTTTCCCGTTTCCCTAAAATTCCTGTGGCACACTCCTTAACAAATTAATTAAGCAACCCTGAGATTTATGTATGTATATAAAAAGCAACTTTAAGTGGGAATGTTTTGAAAGATTTCAGTTCAGGGAACAAAAATAAATCATTGTCTAGTAACAGTCAGTTCCATTAAAGTGGATAACACTCAGACAACAGCAGGGAAGATGGAAATCAATACTTTTCCTTCTGTTATTTTAAGTTTTCAAACTTAAAGTAAGCAAAAACTTGGAATTACATTGATACTGTAAATTAACTTGTAATTTGTTGTTTCTCATGTGCAGTTAAACCCTTTAAAGATATGAAGTATTCAGCCATTTTCTTAATTTGATCAGTTGAGTGTAATTTACCCTATTGACTGCTTTTTTCTGTTTCTGTGGAGCCCTTTTGACATTCTGTATGCCTGCTGTTGTCCTAGCTGAGCACCCGGAGCTATGAGTTGGCATGCCTGCGCAAGGAGCTGTCCCGCTCTCAGCAGCGCGAGACCCAGCTGGCTCAGGAGCACACGGCCCAGGAGAGCAGGCTTGCCCAGCTGGCCGCAGAGCTGCACAGCCTGCGCAGCCTCAGCAGACACTCACAGGAGGAGGTGAGCAGCTGAGTGACCTCAGCCGGCTGCTGCTTGAAAGAAGCCGGGGTTTCGGCTTCAACTACAGGGTCTGCCTCCCTGACGTCTGTTGCCATTAACTTTCTGCCATCTGCCCAAGGCCTCGACTTAGATAAACACACCTTCTTCTAGTCAGTAACCCAATATTGAGTGTTCAGCTACTCTTAAGTCATTGAGTACAAGTGGATAAATCCTTGATGCAAAACCATAATATCTGCATCTGTCCTATATACAGCGGTAAATATCACAAAGGGATTTTTCAACTGGCATTGGAGTTCACCCCAATCCAGAGCAATTTTAAAGGCGATTGTTTGCCGCACTTGCATGTATTTATCAAAGCCTGATTTCTTCTACATGTATAAAACTGCTTTCAGCAGCTCCCTGTCAGCAAATCTAAGGCATTGCATTTAAATCAGAGTAACAGCATATGCACCATGGATTTAAGAAAAAACAGGCTGAAGAAATAAAAAAAATAAAAGACTTACAGGAGTGTTCCTAAGGTCACATGTAATTAAAAATAACAAATTAATGTAGCCATTTTAGTTCTGTTGCACTGATGTACAGGTACTTTCAAATTCCCATTATTATTGTGCCAAGACCATCTACTGTACATTGGTTCTAGATTTACAGTTTTGATCAGCTGCAGTCTAAAACACATGTACTCTCTAAAACTTTGAATACAGCCAGTGTTCATGTTCAAGACCTTATTTGTGCTTACATACTGTAGATACATTAAGTGCAAAATATAAATGCTACACAGTGGTATCAGAAATAGAAGACACATTATCACTTGTGTGGAGAGCTTACCGTATTTCTCATTATATACAATTTATTAATAGAGGAAAACCCCCCCAAAATAAATACTGAAAAACAATCTGTCATTTTCTTTATAGAACTTTTTCTTTATAGATCATATAGAACTCAATCCTTTGGCCTGCACCATAGCCAGTATGTACCAAGCACTGCTGTAGATTGTGATATATGTTGTAATCATATATTATTAACCAAGGTAGCGTGCACGTTTTTAAATTCTTATCAACAAGAGATTGGTTTTAAAAAAAGTCAAGGGGACAAATGATCACCTCACACTCTATTAGCTGGCTGTAAGTCCTGAGTTAGGAAGAATTGTGATGGGGAAGAATCTCCTAGCAGATTCACTTGACACAATATCTAGTACATCTTTTATTTTAGAGGAAAGAAAAGCTCCCAAATTACATTCATTGCCATCTGGCTACCCTGTGTTTGCGTAGGAGCTGAATAAACAAAGAGAAAAACCACTCTAATCCTGCCTTTCACACCCATCACCAACCAGCCAGGCTGCTGAACTAGCCTATTAACGAGCACACTGGCGTCATTGGAAGCTGAGCCCACTAAGTGGAAATGGAATGCTCTAAAATATGAATAATACTGAAGCAAACTAGAACTACCTTATGCATATGTATGGATACAGTTCATTATGATTTTGTGACAATATGCAGAGCTTACTGCAGTTTGATTAACTCAGATCGGTATGCTGTCGCAAGGTGTACTTGAAAGTCTTAGTGCCCCTATTGTTTCACTTCATTCTCTAAGGGCTGTGGCTGTTGCATGGTAACAAGACTATATTCACACTGGCCTAATTGGCTTAAGAAAAACATCCCTGCAATTGTTCAGTCACCTAACTCCTTAACAGAAAATAAGGCAGAGCTCGACCAACACAACACAGCACCGAAGAGAAACACAAATAATTACACAAAGCATTCGGATGATGGTGGTTTCTTTTTAACAAGGCTTTCTGGTCAGCTGTAAAATGAATTCTATCACCGGACATTATGGTATCGGAGATGGAAGACAGCCCAAGACATAGAAATAAAGATGTGCAAAAAAGAAAAAAAAGGTTAATTTCAGAGACCTTTGCGTCTGCGTGAGGTTGTGCTTTTCTGAGGATTATACATGAAATCTCCAAGAATATGATCAGAATTTCTGCACACTTTTGGTTACTTTGAGATCACAGAGGGATTAAGAGGGATATAGAGCTAATGCAGTGTTAGGCTGAGTGAAGTGAATCTCATCTCTGCACGCCTGTAGAGGACCCTTTTTAATTGCCTTTGGTGTAAAAAAACAGCCTTTTCTTTGATTACATTTATTGCCTCTTCTCTGCATTCCATTTGCTCGCCATTCGTGGCCCTCAAAAGGGCACAGGGCTGGTGCGAGGTGGGGAAAACACCCCTGCTTTGATCCCTGTACACGTGTTGAGGGCTTATTGGCACCGGGTTGCAGGTGGTGACGTCTCCCACTGTGAGCCTAGACGGGGTTGAGCTGAGAGACCCAGTCTTGACTGGCTGAGGAGTGGTGCTTTGTGGCTCTGAATCCATACTTGCTCATGCGCAGCTGTGATCCAAGTCGGGCTTTGAGCTGCCTGGGTATTTTGTCAGTATGAACATAAGTGGACAAACAGAATCATTCCACTCTTGTTATTAAATTAAAAAAATTTCAGCAAATTGCACATTTATATTTTCACCTTGGAGAAAGTTAGGGGTCTAGAATATAACACGATAAAACTGAATATTCAAACTGCCAGATTAACCTACTCAAAGAGAAACACCTCGTAGAGCATTTTCAAACACTGGTACGCTGGATTTCAAATATTATGTCATTTCATGTCATACAGTGCTTCTAGAAGGAGGTTTTAAGTAGTGTTGTGAAGATATATTCCTGTTGAAAGTCACAGTAGGATTTTATATGGTCAGCACTTCCATTGGCTATGAAGTAACTGTATTAGTATTACAATATGTCTTAGTAAAATATCGATGGCCTTTTATGTGCTATGTAGTTTTTCTGGTAGCTGCTTAGGGAAAACTCTTAACTATTACGTGCACATCTACTCTTCATCCAGCTCGTTTGCTACTAGCTTGTTGATCCCACGATCTTGTTCCAGCCACAGCTTGAAACACCTGACTCATTCTGGCTCAATGACACAGAGAGGAATTTTGTTCCAGACCCTTCTTTCTGTGAAGAGAGGATTCCTGATTTCAGTCCAATGAATGCATTCTCTCTGTTTGCTTGTTTGTCCTTGTTTTGCTGTTTATCCTGAAGTATTCCTTTTGGTTTACTTTGCCAGTTCCTTGCAAGATTTTATATACTTTTATCAAGTCACCTCATAGTTTCAAGACTAAAGATTTTAAAGTGCTGTATCCTGTATGTGTATAAAAATCCTTTAAGGTCAAGAATTAACCTACATAACCTGTTATATACACAGTATTCTTTTTTATTTTTACCTACACATTGCCTAGGAACTTTTCTTAGTCCACAAAGCACCTAAATCCTTTTAAACCTCAAACTTAGTGCTGATGCCTGTGATGTCTTTTCTTTAGGCTCGCACCTACGAGGGGCGACTGTCAGAGCTCAGTGCCCAGCTGGCCGTCGCTCAACGCTGGGGGCAGGAGCAGCTGGCAGAACTGGAATCCAGAGAGGAGGGAATGGTGGTCCTCAAAGTAGAGCTTGCGTCACTGAAGGAGAAATACCACGCCAAGGCCAAGCAGGTTCCCAGACGATTCACTGCGGCCTCCCGCCGACACTAACACACAAACTATCAGGCCACGCGCCTGTGTGGTGGAAGTACCGTATGTAGTGTAGGTACCAGATCACACGGGGATAGGCAAGCAGGTCACACTGGATGAAAACAAGTAGATGTCGTTTTGTTCACCCACTTTCCTTGAGAATAAAATTAAACCACCTTCATGCGAGTAAATAAATACGTTCAAATGCTCTTAATACTGTGTAGCACTGTGTTCACAAGTTCGTTTGCCACATCCCAGTATTGCTTTGAACAGGTTCTAACTAGGTTGGCAGCTTCCCGGTTCAGTAACAGCTCCTGTCTGTCTGTGTTACAGATTGATGCCTTACACTCAGAACTGGACTTAATGAAGCAGAAGTATGAGGCGGCAGCTAACGAGGTGCTGTGGAACACTATACTGCTGACTCTCCTCACCCCACGCAGCTATTTAAGGGCATTTCCCTTCAGTAGTGTGAATCATATGCAGCTCCTGTCAGTGTGTTCTGCCACATTAGTTTGTGTTTGCCAGTGACCACAGGCGGTTATTTGGAATTTGGAACTTGATGTGTGAGCCTGTCCTTGAATAAAAAGTGATTGTTGCTCAGTGTGTATGGCTCAACATTTAAGGGAGGTGGCTCTCTGCGTGCCTTACCGTATTTTTCCCCCGAGCAGGTGCAGGTGCTGCGCCAGTCACTGGGAAACGCTCGATCAGACAGCTCCCGTCTCCACCGTGAGAGTGAACTGGTCGTGTCCAACGTCAACCAGTGGGTGAAGGAACAGAAGTAAGTATCCACAGTCCTCTTCTGGGTGGGGCAGGAAGAGAGGTCAGCGAGAAGGTATTTCTCTCAGGGTTTGGGTGTTTGACTGTTTCTTATGCATCTCTTTATTCTATTCCAGGCAAGCTAATGAAAAACTGGGAAACAAGATTAAGGAGCAGAGCAAACAGATAGTCCACCTAATGGCTGAGAAGGAGTAAGCTGATCTTTTCCATTCCTTCACATGTCGTCGTAATTGACTGAGATCAAGTCTTGATTTATCACATCGTAGACTGGTGACACTTAGAACCGGGAGTATGGTACTTCACAGAATGTTGTTACAGACACCTTCCTCACCAAGAAAAACACATACAGTATATTCACACAGTCCTGTAGACACTGCTAGAGACACAGTGGCGCAGTGGTTAGCATTGTTGCCTCACAGCACTTAGGCCCTGGGTTCAATTCCATATTTGAGGTGCTGGAGTTTGTGTGTTGTCCCTGTGTTCATGTGGGTTTCCTCCAGGTGCCTCAGTTTCCACCCGCAGTCGATAGACATAGTGGTAGGTTAATTGGCTTCTGGGAAAATTTGCCCTAGGTGTGAGTGTGTTCATGTCTGTGATTGTGCCCCTTAGTCTACCTTTCGGTCTGGCTTTCTGTCCAGGTTGTGCCCTGCCTCATTCCCATTGCTTGCTGGGATATGCTCCAGCTCCCCTGAAATGGAAGAATTGGAATTATAGAATTGATGGATGTACTGGAGACACTAATCATTTTCTTGTACTTGTTACATCACCTTATACTGTTATTTGGAAAAGGTACCAAACCTCATGCTCAGTGTCCGAGATTAGCAGTCCGTCTCGGTGATCAGACTTAATTTCTGTCTCTCCTGTTACAGCCACCTACAAGAAAGCATGGAGGGCCTGCAGAGAGAGAACAGGAAGCTGAAAGCTGAGGTGGACGAGAGAAGGATGGAGGTGGAGAGGTTTAGGGTAAGTCATCTGGGTGGTTTAAGGATATTATCACTGCCATTACACACAGTCTCCTCTATAGTAATTCAGTGCCTCCCATACATTGTCAGCAAAGTCACTTTACATGTATTTAAGCATTTAAGCATTCTGATTCTCCCCTGGTCAGTGTGATGAGCTTACTCGATGGAGAAAGGGGGACCATTGTGGGTTCTGGTTCTTCTACAGGTGCATAGTAATAAATTCATCACTGGTCCTCCTGCCTTGCAGGCACTTCAGGCCAGTCAGTCAGACCAGTGCAGTGCCTTAACACGCTTACGGAGCCAACAGCCAGACCCGGAGTGAGTAAAAACATTTACTTATTACTGGTTGCGTTGCTGTTCTCAGTAACCAATGCAAAGTCACCGTATGTCCTTTTATTTCTCAGGTGCTTCATTACACTTCTTTCTGTGCATTAACCTAACCTTCTGGGTAGTGTTACATTTGTAAAAGCCACATATGGTTCGATATGGCTCATTTTACTCATCATAGATGATAATATCCGACTTGCGTTATTCTAAAAGAGAAAATGTCTCAATGACTAAAGCAGAGGAACTTTCTATGCAAGGAACAGGCCCAAAAGGTTGGTTTTTTTTTAAATTAAGCTATCCATTAACAGATTTACTTTTGAAAAGTTGTATTATTTTATTCGCTGTAGGGAGGTTTGTTGTGGGATTAGCATACTCCTGTATGTGTTTTTTCTGGTTAATGGCCCATGTAGCCTGGCTGTTAAATCAGAGAGCTGAAAGCTCTGAAGCCAGCAGATTGATGTTTCAAATCCCAGACTGCACAGCAGCTTTGGTGTTTTTATTTTGGTCCGTCTTCCAGACCGGAGCCGATCTCAATACCAGCTTTAAAGCAGCAGTTTTTTTTTCTAGCACTTCTACATTCTCCCGGTCCTGCACTAAAACTGTAGTTACATAAAAGCAGACGGCGCCTGAGGGACCGGGTTTAAATCCAGCAGTGTGCCGCTGTGGTGTGGCTCTCCGTGTGTGTGAGCGCGGCACTCTCCACACGTTAGGGGAGGCTGCTCAACTCTGTCCACTTGCGGAGCAAGTCCATGCCTAGCAAGAGGCGCTGAGGTTGTTAACACCAAAGATGCATTTCTCTAGCCAAGCATAAAATCTCCAAGGTGGCCACAAAGAAAACCACTCCACAGGCCGTCTGACTTAGAGCTGAAACTTTCCCCTTGAACGCTGAGCACTTCGACTTTACTTAGCTTAGCCTGCGAGTTCTTTTCAGGTCTTGGTTGAAGAAGGACAGCCTGTTGCTAGCCAGTTTAAGCATTATATTCCATATCTAAGCAGGTCTGCTTCTAAAACCCTCCTCCCACTTTCTCATCTGCCTGTGTTTAAGGATGAAGAAATCTGGATACTATCTGTCCCCATTTAACATGTCTACAGCAGGCAGCGCTTCATACAGTATAGTGTTTCTTATAGTGAATGCGGAATGTAAAATACAACTTAGTGTTCTACTTTGTATTTACTTCTTTGCAACTAATAATTTTCATTCAGCTCATTTTCAGGTATGATCTAAGAAAGAAAACCCTTTTTTTCCCGTATCAGAAGTTTGAAACAAAGATGATAGGTCAGATGAGTTCAGATTAATTCAGATTCTATGCTATATACAGTATATTTTCCCCAATGCGGTTTGTCATTCACTCCTCCTATTAGAGCATGTTTCTCAACACCTTAAGCTACCATGCATCCTAGAATTGTGACCTCATGTATATTTCATGCTGTACAACAAACAGTGGTCGCATTCTTCCTTAAATTCAGCTGATAGCTTTCACCTCATCGCTCACTCTTCTGTGTCAAATAAAAACACATTTGACCTCACTAGACTTTGCTTAAAATCATTTTAGTTTTTTTGGCAAAAGATATATTTTTCTTGCACTGGTGAAGGTTTTATCTAACAATTGCAGAACTGAATTCTTCTGTTCTTGCTGTTTGTGTTATTGTCTCAACACCATTTCCCACAACTTCAGTACCCCCTGCAAGCGATCTCAAACACTTATTTTTCTGTTCATACCTGAATAAATGTTTGAGAGCCTCCACTATAAAGCATTTTAAAGATATTTATTGTCTGAGACCTGCTGTTTTCTTCTTTTTTTTTTTACAATGTGACTGAACATGCACCATTTTCTTTACAATATTCTTATTACAAAAAACATTACCGCAAGCAAGCTCTGCCAGGATAACCTGATCTGTAGCTTGCTGATGAATCACCCAAGTGAAATGGCTGCATACTGCAACCAACCTGTGGTAAAGAGATGCAAACACAAGCCATTAACCACTGGGTAACTAACTGAACCTCAGCTAATGTTTTGGGACATCCTAAAAGCCTTGGGGAACAGAAAATGTATTTTGAACTCTGGCAATAAGTAAATATAAATAAATGGATAAATAAGTAAATTGCATATGAAGAGCCAAGGGAGCTGTGTACATTCTTACACAGTGCTTTTGTTTATCACATCAGAAATTCTAGGTGCAGCTGATGGGCTCCTTGCGCAGATCTGCTCCTTCTGCATCATTCATTGCCTTTCATTAACTGTCATTGCTCGGGCTTTCAGAAGAGAGAGACCAATTTCAGTTCGAAGTCTTCTGAGACCATATTTTCTAAAAAAAAAAAAGTCTGAGAGCCCAGTCAACTTCTGTCCCCGCACTCAAAGACTCGAGCTTACAGATAATGGACTGAATCTTTGTTTGCTACAGCTAAGGAGGGAAACTGCAGTTGTGCTGGGTTATAATACAATGACACTTTAATGACTTTGCATTGAAATTACATCAAGTAATTGTCATTAGTAGAACTGCTTCACTATGATTGCTTAAGAAAAAGGAATATGTGAAGACTCTTAGTTGCAATACTTGAATAATAGAGGCAAAAAATCTAAATGTGAAAAATTACTGAAAATAAAAAATGTATTTTCCCCAGTAATCCCTGTACAGATAGAGCCATGGGCATTTTTAAGTGCGCATTCTTTTTGCGTAAAGAAGAAGCCCTTTCTGTTTGGAGGAGAGGAACAAGTCTTGCTGCTGTAAGATATTGTGCATTTTCCAAAAGCGTGGTGTTCATTAGCCATTTTTTTTCCAGTTCACTTCCAGCTAGAAGGTCCCCTGATTGATAGAAAGCTTGCGCTGTTTATTTGGGTATCAGGGAATGAAATATTCATATTGTACGCCTTTCTGAGCAGAAGTTATCAAGATGCAGCGTAAATGGTACTTGGGATTAGATTTTCACAGCAGATTGCTGTTATTAAAAACGGGGGGTGGGAGGGGGGTAAAAACTTTCAGCGGCCATCTTCCTGGGAGGCAATCTATTTATTTTTTCACACAGCAGCAGAGTAATAGAGTTGGCTCTTAATGCTGTGTAGCAAAAGTGCTGTGGTCCGCAACCTTTCACGCCTTCACCTGCCTTTCTTTCATGTGATTGAATACTTAATAGCTTCTACTGTCTTTGAAAACCCATAATGGGACCCCTTCTAGAAATTTAGAAAGACTCCTTTAACCCTCTCGTCTGTCTTCCTGGGATAACCAGTGGAAGTCTAGGTTTCCTGCTCTCTTTAACACCCCATTACAGTGTCCTTGTGCATGCAGCTCACAGTGGTGATGCATACAGTAGATATTCTTTTTTATTAACTCTGCATAGTGTTCCTTTGCTTTCCATGCATGATGTGATCATTACACCTTTACTCTCTGTAGATGCTTGTTTATTTAGTAGTAGAACATTTCTGAAGACATACTTGCTGTTTTTTCAATTGCCATTTCTAAAAATTAGTCACCCCCCCCCCACCACTGTATTTTATTTTGTTCTTTATTTGTAATTTGGAGACACAAGTTAAAAACCGGATGTGCAGTTGTGAGTTTGTCCCAGAGGGTTACATAGAAAGACAGATCAAGAGGTAATACTATATGAAGAATGGAGTTGGAAAAATCAGAGCAATGAATAACGTATTGATTATTACTGAAGTTCTCTGAGCACTGTGAAGTACATGTGTTTTTTAAAATGTGTTAACACAATTCATGGATTTGCCAAAAGCATTTGCATGGGAAATGCAAGTACCTGGGTCAAAAATATTAGAAAAGTTTTTTGCAATATTCTACTAACTTCTAATGTTCACAGTTCTTTAAATGCCAAATATACCTTGACTTCAATTGTTCAGGCATAATGGCATCTGTGGTTTTGCACTCTTCATATATAGCAAGACATGTAATGCAGGTCATGACACAGCTGGGCCTGTGTGAATCAGTGTTTTTGTCAGAGTGTCAGATAGCAAGTTTTTAAGATCTTTAGTTTATGTCTATTAACCTTCCCCAGCTGCCCTTAAAAATGTGTCTTGTCGCCTCTTTTCCCTCTTTTTCACCACGTTAGAGACAGGCTGCAGGGCTGGCTGAGAGCACAAGAGCTAAGTAAGAGTTCTAGTGGGGAGGTAGCTACAGCCCTTTTTAATAATAATCAGGTAGGGATGTTTTTTTTTTCAATCTATAAGGAAAAAGATAATAGTTAAGGTTATCTATTGACCCCTGAAGCTAAAGGCAGCAACTGATCAGCCTAAGACTTGGTGTTTGCTTTGCAATTATCAAAACAGGTAAAAAGTAAAGATCTGCTGACCTGCCTTGTGAGTTTACGGGAATCAGGAGCCTTGAAGCTGATGCTTTGAGATGTTGTTCTTGTGTCCACAGACCACCCCGCACAACAAGAGGGACGTTAAGCAGTCGAGGGGCTCTGAAGAAGAAAGCTCTGGCTGCCAACCTGGGCTGCAGTTAGACCATCACAGAGGGGCTGACGTCCTGCCCATACCAAGCCCTGGTCAACCTCAGAGAGGGGCAGTGGCCAGAACATGCCCCTGAGAAGACAGTGCTGCACACTGGCCTCCAGCTGAACTCTTGTTGAACAGGCCAGAGATAATTCACACACATCGTGCCTTACTGGAGAGCCTCAGACTCACTGAACTTAAGCCAGATGTGTTTTTTGGTATCGTTTAAACAATGAGCATTAAAAAAACACACAGGACGTCCGAGTTACACAAATGCTCATTATTCCTGATACTATGGCCTTGAATTATAGAGAAATGACTTTTGCTTATAGTGATTAATTTATTTATTGTCTATTAGCTTTTTAAATTGTTTTAGCACCCAAATATGTGTTGGTAACTCAGTTTTGTGTGGATTTAAAATGCACTTTCAATCATTTTAAGCTTATACTTTACAGAGGTCATTTTGAAGCACACTTCATTAGAACCATATTAGGCTACATTAATGAGGTAAGGTTAATGGACTGTAACAAATCCAAGAAAAAGATTGATTGTTTAAAACAATTTGCTATTTACAGGTGACAGTCCAAGGTGACTGAAGCAGTTTGATTTTGTCTGAAATGATGATGATGATAATTTCAAAACTACCTTATTTTTTTACATGAGATTATAACAATTCTGTCTGATAATTTGATAACTCTCTCTCTTTCTACATGTTTTAAGGGTTTTATATTCTAAATTGTCTATTTTTGTTACTTTCTTTAATGATGGCAAATGTAATCAATCATGGTTAAAGTCTGTCTACAGTATACTGAGCATTAGAATAAACTTATCCATTATAATTGGACCGAATTCACAAATTTATTATAAGGAAAATAAAATATTTGTCGAATATCACTATGTGCATTGACATTTTATATTATGCTCATTAACATTTGTCATCAGCAGGGCTGACTAACAGTGTAGTCTGCTGTGGAAGCAAGACTTTGCATGAGTTTGCAGATGCCCTCTTGTGGGATTCTGTCCCATTCCTCTCCATTCCTCTTGCAGGGTTTGGACAAGCTTTTGCCTGCTCCCTGGTACCTGAGTCCTAGTCACCACACATCATCACAGCACATTCCACAAATAGTCTAGCAACTAGGGCCTGTATAGCACAGCTGACAAGAAAGCCATTGTTACCCAAGCAGCAGTAGAACACATGTTGTCTTGCTGGAAATTTGTCACATCAGGATGAGCTTTGCAGAAAGGGCAGCAGCTGAGGCCCCAGGTCTTGAATAATATCAGGTGGTGTAGTAAGATTACCATCAGTCACGGCCAGTGGAGTCCTGTAGCAACTGAACACTCCCACCATCACCATCAGGCATAGACCTCGTCATCAATTGGTCTGTTGTGAGAACTTGGCTCCACTGTTGCTCTTCAAGTGTTGCCCCATACCGATGGCACAAAGGCGTTGTTTTCGTGATGTTCTGGACGTCTTGCTTCCTTTTTGTGTTCCTCTTCCTTCATTTTCATCAGGCTTGGCATTTAACACATTAAATCGGCTGTGCCTAATTAACTCTCCCACTAATGACTGGCTTTAGTGCATACAGTATGCAACAAAGCTACTCCATTATATATAATCAATTAATCAAAATTATGCCAAAAAAAATCCAAAACCCGGAAAACTTAAGGTTTGAAAAAAAAAAAACGAAAAAAAAAAAGAAGGTTCCTTTGAAAACCAAGAAAAAAAAAGAAAAAACAAAGAATAAATTAATTTCAATTTTATGGTTCATAGCAACTTAATGCTCTTGAAAGCCATACACCTGAATGTCTGATTCACTTGTTGAAATTAACCATCACACTGATGAGCCCCAGTAAGTGCAAAACCGCTGTCCATGGCAGCTACCTTTGAATTGATATATGTAAAGAGTGGAATTGAAGCCTCCTTAGATTATTAGAGGGTTCTGCCCCTCTCAGAATTGTGAAACAGCAGAGCTAATTAATATCCATTCCCATGTTGTGCCTGTATATTTATTTCCACCTTTATCAGTATGAGAGCACAGGCACCATTCCCTGTACACCACATCTGAATGATAACGAACTGTCCTGTTGTGCTACATGTGCAGAACGAAGGGCTTCTGTGCAATTAAGAGTAAATTGAAAAGTAACAGTAAATTACTTACAAGGCAAAGTTGAGACTGTTCCCAAACTTGTTTTCTTGACTTCTTTAAAGACAGCCTCTGTCCTCAAACTGATGCAATAAATCTCAGAAATATTGCAGATCCTGTAATGAAGCATTTTTTTTCCATACAAGTGAACCCAATATTCTCATCATATCATATCCTGTGTTTAGCATCAAAAGCAGTATTATTATATTAATACTAGTTTTCAGAGATGGGCCCGATAAGGAAGTAGGTTTTGCTTGCCTGTCAAAGGCTGCACATACAGGAGCAGATAGCAACCGGAAATCAAATCCACATTCATTAATTTAGTCTACCTCCATTCCTTCTTAATTTTAATCAGATGTGCCACACTTCATTTCGACAGGTCAGATTTCTACCCAAACCATACCTTTATCTCATGGGAGGTTTATTGTTGGGCGACTGTGAATTTGGATTCATCTGACACTTTTTCATGTGTGTTTGAAAGGTATCTTAACACTGAAGACACAGACTTTCACATTAGTGATTTGAATTGCTAAAAAGGTAAACGATCGAGTGGACCAGTTCTTTAAAACCGAGAAATGCTCTGCTCTGATGTAGCTCCTTGGCGACTGGTAGCTGGAGTAGCTTTTGGATCATTTTCACTTCAAATTTAATGTCTGTTTATCCCACAGCCCTGACTGGGCTGTCAGTCACAGTGTGAAGATGTAGGGGATCAATGCACAGCTCAGTCCAAATGTTGGCTTTCTATGAAATGACCAACTACAGCTGTGGCTGCTGGTGTGAGAAAGGGACCAAGTTCGGTTATTTGAAGTGATAAAGACACCCACATTTGAAGGAACACTTGTCCTTTCTGCACAGTGCAGGTGAAAAAAAGAATAACGATCTAAAATTTAAAATTTGCCTCTAAAATTTAAAATCTAAAATTTGCCTGTGTGAATGAAATTGGCATGCAGGATTCACGATCCCAAGCAGACACGTTTTGGAGTGGGTTTTGCAGGATACCCTTGTGTGGATCAGTGGTGCTCAATTGTCCGAGACAGACACTGGTTATTCAGTGTTATGGTTATGGTGTCTCATTTCCTGTTGTGATGTCACTTTCTTTGATATAAATTTTACTATGAGTCTTGATGGGTTCTCCAATTGTATTGGAACAACAGCGGAGCAATCTACTTCAGAGTTGAAGAAGCAGGGTAGAGATAATGATAAAGTTTCCATAATTATTTGTAACGCTGTTGATGCAATGTGTACAAATTATTTATTTTAAATAATGTTTCAGGGCAGCTTTTTTGTCTTCATTTCAAAAGAGCATAAATTAGTCAGATCATGTCACCAGGTTTTCTTCCTGATGAATGTGAAATTGGTGTGTAACTGTAAGTGTTTGTTGGGATGAACTTGTTTGACTGATGGGCAGGGCTCTGCTCTTTCAACCACAAATCACCCAGTAAATACAGAGGAATATTTAATAAAAAATCAGTATATTATGACCATTTGCATCATGGGTTTGCTCTGACAGTGTTTATTGACCAGATGATTTGCTTACTTTTTAGTATTTTATACTAATTAATTTTTAGTATTGTAAATACTAAATTACAAAAAAATAGTATTTTAATACTAAAATTACTGAAGATTTTATAGGATTTATAGTTGGATTTTGTGTTTAATTTAGATTTAGAGGGAGTTATTCCATGTGGTTTCTTGTGAAAAGAGCCTCAAGCCAGAAAAGTAGTCATCATAATAGTGAGTTTATTTCTAAAAATTACATATTGTTTTAAAGAAGCACCTTGTATGAGATGAGGGTTTACAATACAAGCATATGTTATAAATGTATAAAGGTTGAAAATGTTGTTTATAATAGATTTTTCAGGACAGTAAATTATTTTTAATAACTCGTTATCCCCTAGATCTAATGAATTATGGAGGACCAAGACGATCCTCTTTATTTGATACAAAAACTCTGAAAACCCGATTTAGCTGTTATTTTTTTATGTTTTGGGCAGAAATATTTCTGTATTAAAATGGAAGTGTGTGTGTTGGTGAGGTAAAAAGAACAGCTAGACAACGATTGTTTCAATTTGATTCTGGTGCTAGTTTATATTGGAATGAATTAGAAATGCGAATTGACCATCTGGATATTCAAAGTGTAGGGAGCTTGAGTTTTCATATATGGTGTGAGACTGGATGTAAAGGTGTTCTCTTGGGTCCACAGATATCTCAGGGAAGTGTTTGAACCTTTGCACAATCATTCCAGGACAGTACTATAAAAAGTACATGTCAACAGCCAATAATTATATATCAACATCAGAGATTTCCTTGTCAGCATTTTAGCCATAAAGATTAGATGCCCTTAAGCTACTGAAAGATACACATGAGAGGCTGAAAGAAGAATCTTTAGGCCTGTGTGTAGCAACATCTTTTAACATATGACAATAAAAGGAAACTTTCTTTGATTGTAAAACTGTGAAATTCATTCAGATTATTAAATGGTGTTTTCAGTGAAGAATGTAAGCAATGTACATTGTTGATCCTTCCCTGGTAAAACTTAAATATATGCATACATTTTAATATATAGACTTGAATGAATAGATTAATGGATTGTATTTTTCTTTTAAAAGGAAAAGTAGTAACAGCACAGTGTGTTTAGATTTTTAATTCGAAGACATTTGTACTGTATATGTAACGTAATTGTCTTGTGTGAATTAAAATTGTCACTCTGTCTTACGTGGTCATGCTTTATAACTGGTTGTTCTTATATTTGTGTTACATTACTTCGAAAGAATATATTCTTTGGTGTTATATATTGTATTTGTTTTATTAGATCATAAATATGTTTACTCTACTTTGTAGCCTGTGTCTTACCAAATCTGAGCAGCTAAGCAAGGCTGGGCGTGGTCAGTACAGCAAAAACTTAGTCAGCCAATGTTCAGTTGTTCAATGTTCAGTACCCACCTGAACTACTTCAATGTTTGGTTATCCATTTATAGAAGAAACCGCCTATAGGGTGACTTTGGAATGCTCTTCAAAAGAAAATAAGTATGGACATTTGCACAAAGTTGTAAGAGAGGATTCTAAAGCAGTAGAATTTTAATTAAACATCTCAGTAAATAGGTATAGAACAC